TACTACTAACATATCTACATCTTACATTGCAACACTAAATCTAGAAGAGGTCTGACAGCCTACTCTAATAGAGTTTTGGGCTAAGGATAAATTAGTCCTAGCTATAGGTCCATGTAATAATTTATGTAACTCCTTTTCATTAATATAATACCAAATTGTTTAATAAAGACTGAGGTCAGGCCTCACTCTTAAAAAAAAAAAATATATATATATATATATTCTTAATCTGAGAACTAATTTTATCTCTACTTGCTTTCAGAATATCCTTTCAGTTTGGATGTTGAATATGTAAGAGAGTCTACTAGACAAAAAGCTTGACCCAAGGCAAGAACCACTCAAGTTTCACCTGCTCCTTGGTGTATCACATACTTGAGTTTTGTTAAGAGCAAGTTTACTTAATGTAAAACTAAAAATATTATTCACTTTGAAGCCAGAGTCTTCAATCTATTTTCAGTGCCAACTTGGTTCAGGTGATTGTTAGAAAGAGTTTTTAATATTTTATATATATCTTAGTAATTCAATTTACTAATTTATAATAATAAAAATATTAATTAATCTATTTAAATATCTTGTCTCTATAGCTAATAATAATAATTTGTTATAAGTCATAACTGAATTTATTTAAATTAAATTATTTGAATTAATTTATGTAATATTAGAGATAGAACTAGTGAATTTTAACAACAAAGACTGTTAATATTGCACATATATTAAAATTGATAAGGAATTATATTTATTACAATTGATTTGTAATTAATTACAAGTAAGAAATATTTACTTTGGATTAAGCAATATTTATGTAGTAGTAAATTTCAAGTTTATGATTATACAAACTAAACCAAAGAAATAAGTTTTATTTAAAAATTTATATAAAACTATGCAATGATAATTTCTTGTTTCTTATAAAGTAACTTTAGAATTCTAAAAAAGTAATAACCACTTGACTTTTTTTAAAATAAATTTTATATGAAAGTTTTTTTCTTTAAATATTTATTTTCATTTATCACAATTTGAGTTTCTTTCAATTTCATGTTTATTTTTTCTATTTCCTGATTATATTAACATTCAAAAATTCTTTAAAATAAAGTTTCAAAGTTTTTTATTTAAAAAAACCTCAAACATTAATAACATTATAGAATAAAGAAAATAATAATAAATTTAATGCCTGCCTTGTGTTCAACACAGTTGTACTAGAAACTGAGAATGAAAGCAAATATAGTAGTTAACAAATAGTTCAAGTAACATACAAATAAAAGCTGATCTAGTATCCCATTAATATATTGTGAAACATTTAATAGACAATATAGGTAATTGAATCACATTAGCTAATCAAAAGGCATAATTAATTGTCTTTGATAATTAGTGATTATCATTTAATCAACCCATAAAAAATCCTACAAAAAAAAAAAAAAATGCCAAATATCAGGTAAATATTCAAACTAATTTGCAACAGGTTACCAATTTTTTGTGTCTAAAATTTTTTTTTTACTATCATTAGTTATCGCAACTACGACATAGCTTACGTTTTCATTTTTTGTATTCAAATTATGCTCTGTGATTATATATCTGAATGCATGTTGACCTACATGCGTAATGAATTTATGTGTGAAAAATAACCAAAATTTTATGAATAAGTCATGAAGACCAATCAAGCTTAAGATTTTGTGGACATAAACCACTTATTGCACCTCACGCATTGGACAAATATAGAAATCATGAGATAAAGTCACAAGGATTGAACATCCAATCAGATCCAAGATTTTGTACAGGACATTTAACTCTGAGAATAACTATACTCTATGTTGTACAAACTCCGTTCCTGGTATTAATTGTTTAAGATAATCTCACTAAGTTCATTACATTGTCGTTAAATAACATTTTGTTTGAATTTTGAATTCTTATTTAATTAAAATTTTTATTAAATTAATCTCAGTGATTATGCCACGGGTTATTTGCTAGTCAACAGATGTTTTCGCTCAATTCTTTGATGATCAGTGATTATCATTTTATCAGCCTGGCAAAATTCTGACAAAAAAAAAATACAAATTGACAAATATCTAATAAACAGGCATATAAATTTGTATCGAGTCACAAATTATGTGCCTAAAAGTTTTGTTTTTACTATTATCTGTTATTGAATTTTGATTTTATGAATATATTTAAATAACTACTTTAGATATTAGCAACAACTTAGATATCTAAAGGTATCTAAAGTTGCTACCGTCAGACCTTCCTAAATGCACGTCGTCGGGACCGGCTCTAGAGCGTGCATTTAGAGAGGGCTGCAATTAGAGAACACTTATAAAATCACAATGTGACTATTATTATGGCTTTAAAAGCCTAGAAATAAGAATTTTATTGCTAATAATCACGTGGATGCATTTATGGAGGGAGTTTTTATAAGTGGGCCAGACAATTAGCGTGCACTTACAGAATAAAGAACGTGCATTTATCTATAAGTTCCGCCATGGGCCCGGACTCATATCATGCATTTAGAAGGGTGATGCATTTAGGGAGGGTGCATTTAGGGGTCTGACTGTACTTTAAAATAAGTAGCTTAGATGCAGAAGATACTTCAGATACAGTATCGCATTTGAAGTAGCCACCTATTTAAAGTAGCTACTTTAGATATCTAAAATGGTAACTTTAGATAAGCTACTTCATATATATGAAATAGTCACTTTAGATGGGTTGCTACTTCAGATACACATATGGTGTAAGACATCTATACTCAACGATTACACGAAGTGTTTCAATTTTTCAATATGGCTATAACTTTTTATCTAAGAAGTTTTTTAAAAATCTGACCAGTAACTTTATAGAGCTACATCAGCTCTACATGTGTGCCAAATATCATTTAAAAATCTCATCACTGTAAAAAGTTTTAGCAATTTGAAAATTGAAATTTAATATGAAATTTAATATATAAATTTACAAATTTATATATAAAATTTCAATTTTCAAATTGCTAAAACTTTTACAGTGATGAGTTTTTGAAATGATATTTGGCACACATGTAGAGCTGATGTAGCTCTATAAAGTTACGGTCAGATTTTTTAAAAATTTCTTAGATAAAAGGTTATAGCCATTTGAAAAATTGAAACACTTCGTGCGCCCGTTGAGTATAGATGTCTTGCACCATATATATTCCTAAAATCATAGTTTTAAATTTTATTAATCAAATTAAATATTAATGATAGAATTTTTAAAATTATTATATTAATATGTGATGTATCAGAGGTAATAATATTATTACCTATACTATAAATAATACTATGAATATATAAAAACTGCAATATTTCGTGATAAGGTGCTAACAGTATAAAATGGATGTAATAAACAAAATTGAAAGGATCTATCTTCCTATCGTGTACATCCATTAACAACATTAACATTCTACTTGATTAAATTCCCAAGTATGGTTCTCATAACCTTTGAATGCCCAACACGATTTTTCTTTGGTTGAGTAGGCCACTGATCCAATTTTCTCCATGTAAACACAAGACAGCTGACCATCTGGTACCATGCAATCCAATAGTGTGCCACCGGCGCAGTCTGTTTTCTGACCGTCGCTATCTTAGTTTCGTTTTTGACGGCACAATTTGTTACATATGATACACAGGCATCAATTGGGTCCCGATAGGAGTCACTTGTAGCATATACATGCACAAGATATGCTATTTACACAAATCCAGGAAATATCAGTTATGAGAATAGAAAAATAATCCAACATTCACAATACATATTTACCTTCAGCTGTGCTGCTTAATAGGAAACATATTGTAAGGATACTAAGACTGCGAGCGACTGTAGGATACTTCATTGTAAAGCGTGGCGGTTACGTTGAAGTGACCACGTACTTAAAAAGATGCTTTATTTATAATGCAACCGGATAAACCATGATAGCAGTTTTTCCAATGAGCTGCGCATGAGCCCACCTTGAAATGGAAACTCTCCGTACATCCATTTGTCATCCTTTCCTTGATCATATTCAGAAAGAAGTTGTTAAGCTCTATTTAAAAAAAGTAAGTGCTTCTGTTACAGGTTGACCTATTGCATTGCATAGTAATTTTGATATGTCAGTACTTAGGGTATTTCTTTTTGATTTATTATTTATAGTTTGATTTTTTTTTTTAAAAAAAAAGTACTTTAAACTGTAAAATTAAATTGATTTAAACAGTCAATAATACGAAAATCTTCCTATGAGTGTCCGTGTGTAACGTTAAATCATATAAACAATAATATTGCAATTTGACGGCATTTCTCCCATTTTTAGAGAGGGCCACCGGATTTAGGCCGCATTTAGCAACACAAGTCAACTATTTCTGGGTCAAAATTATCTTATCAGCTGGACAGCTTTACTTAATGAGTGGGCCATCACTTCATTAACAAAACTTTTAGTGATCTTGGGCAAAATTAGTTAATCCCGGCCCCACCGATCATGATCAAAACCCGGTGACCCCGTATAAGTTCGTTACTCTACAAAATCATGCATAAAGTAGATGTGCACTAAAAACCAGAAACGCACTTATTATATATGCTAGTTCTTTCAGTATATCGTAAAACCTTTTATTGGATTTTGTAATACAAAAATAGTAAAGCGATTTAAAAGACATATAGATCGCTAATCGGCATGACTAAATGAAAAAACAGTAATTAAAAATTGCATATATCGTTGGTTTGCCACCTGTTCCAATTAATAATACCGGAAACGGAGTTTCATGGAAGTGAAACACTCTTGTATTTGTTGATCGACGTAATCATGGATCTTCCTTTTCTCTGTTTATGGGATCTTCTGGTTAGTTGCTCATTTATGTTTCAAAGTTCCATTTCGATAGTGAAATGCTAACAGCATGTAGCATATAGTATATGTAAAAATAGTTGACATTGATTTTCATTTATAAGATAACATGATTACGACACTTGCCGTAACAATTGGCATAAAACCATAAACCGTAGTGCAATACTGTCATCGCCATAATTCTGTTATACCACAATTAAAGTTCATTGATAAATTAGGAAGACCTAAAGTGATCTGATTGGCTAATTGAATCATGTGTGACTTGACATCTTTCTGCCTTTAGAGATCTGATTGATTGTTACACTTTTATGCCACATTTATTTATTAGGCTTAATGATAAATTTGATTTTATTAATGACGTTTGCTATACAAGGCTTAAATTGCTTCCATATTGCGAGCAGTTGATTACCGTTCAAATATTATTTGACTCAGTGGAGTATCAAATATTATTTCAGTTAATTGGTACTGCTCACTTTGTAGATCATCACTTCGTCCTATTTCGCAAACAATCAATTCTATTTTACAGAAAACCGACGAAACAAGTTTTATTTAAGAAAATCAATCCACGAATAAACTATTTGTGAACAGTTTATTTTATTAACGGCTCATTTCATAGAAAATTTACTTATCTGAGAATTGATTGACTGTAAAATAGACTTATCTGTAAATTAGTAAGTATAATGCATCATTATAAATCGTTAGAACTTCGAATTAGCTCAACATTTAAGTTGTTAATAGAATTAAAATTTTTATATATTGTGCTGTAATCCCAGAAGCACGTGGAAGAGTGACTAACTAGCGGCTGTGCTGCCTGAAATGGGTTTCTCGGTTTTAAAAGTCATAAAGGTACTAAACGTCATTTCGGAACTATAGTAGCTAGAAGAGTTAAAAGTGGATCAGGGCTATAATTAGACAATCAGTATAAACTTTATAATTAATATATGCAGTACAATAAGTATAAGTGATATATCTAGGGATGGGATACTGTCCATGCAGCATTTTAGAAAGACTGCACAGGGCAATTTCTATAATTTGGGCCAGCTATTATAATTTTGGTCAGTTTGCATAATATTGATTTAAATAATTATATATAAGTAGCTGCGCAACGTTGTCGCGCGAAACCAGGAACGGGAGAAATATACACAGACACCATTTCAGTTACGGGAAACCATATTCTTCATTACAATCCATTCCTGGTATAAGAAAATGACTCTTT